AAAAAAGACCGCACCGGGGCTCATATACACACACACACACACACACACACACACACACACACACACACACACACACACACACACACACATGCACGCACAGATAAACAAAGGTTGGATTTGATGGACATGTCTCGTTATTCAAACTCAAATACTATGTAACTATGTACTACTGAAATGTGCTGCCCTTGGCCATACAGTATTGTATTATCTCCCAGTATATAATGCAACACAACCATCCAACCCAATCATAGGACCCTTCCCTGGTCACACAGACCCTTACACCCAATAATAGGACCAGCTTTACAATATAAGGAAGACATACAGTTACAATACAATTCAAGACAAGATGGTAAGGAGGATAAGTGATTGTTTTCCTTTCCCACAAAATTCCAGCATAACTAAGGACGGTGGAAGTAAGGTGGGGTTTGGTGGTTTTTATAAGGGGACAATGAGCTGTGCATGGCTCCTGAAGGTCACGGAAAGCTGCTTTCACCTTTCCCTGATGTGACCCAAACTGCCCCCTCATCAGCTTCATTATTGTTTGCTTTTTTTCAGAGAACAATAAAACTAAACTAAAAAAAAATTGTCAAGTGACAGCATACAAATTATAATCAAAGACACAAAAGGGAAAAACACAAATATAAAGAACAAACATATGAGATAAACTGAACTACCCTAAGGGCCAGTTTACACCTAATCCAGTGCGTTCCAGCACGGTTAGTAGCCGCAACGCACTGGATTGCATAATAAAATCCTCCCTGCTTTCTAGGGCGGGAGGGGGTGCGGCGGTGCATTTAAGTCAATGGCACCGCAGCCCCGCTTCCCGCCCCACAGTGCGATCGCCCGCACCAGAACACATGGCAAAGCAATGTACTATTTTTTGCGATCACACTGGGCCACGGGCATTGCTGTGCCACGCGTTATGGTGCAGGCACTGCAGGGCGGGAGGCGTGGCTGTGGTGCCATTGACTTCTTGAGTGCACCACCAGCCCCACAGCAGGGAGGATGTAATTATGCGATAGGGTGTGTTCCAGCAACTAACCGTGCTGGAACGCACTGGATTAGGTGTGAACAAACCCTAAGTACACCCTCTAAATAAAGAAAAAAATAATATTTTAGGTAAGCAGTTGACTGTGTAAAACATTAAATCATTTTTGCCAAAATCCCTCCACTCATCCCCATTGGTGAGGAGAAGCCAGAAGACCCACAAACCAACCAAGCGACTGGAAGCCTCCTGCAGATAGTGAGAACTGAACCAGGACTTCAGCAGTGCAAGCCAAGAGTGCTCGTTAACGTGTCCCCTTGCTAATGTGCCCAGAAGTGTGCGGAATGAATGTGTCAATGTCAAGGAGGGTTATATTACCTCTTCTGAAGATCAGGATGGTCTTGGCAGGAAGTCCAGCTTTGTCTTTCACTCCTATTTTCTGAATGATGTCTTGCTTACAGTCGGGAGAGCTTTTTATTTGTAGTCCTTTTGGTGCCCTTTGCACATTTTGATGATCTTAGAATCTCAATGGTCTTTAAAGTTCTGCCTTCTGAGTAATTGCTTGTGTGTAAAGGAGTTTCCAACTGTGCTCCTGACATACCAGGCTGGTGTTCTTCTGCTTGATTAGGCTTACAGTAGATTAGATGCTCAGGCTTCTCCCGCTGGCAGCAGGTCGGTCTTCCAGCTCTCCAAGGTTGATTCTCAAGAGGTCTCAGAGAGGAACTCACTCACCTTTTTGTCTCACTCGTCTCTCTTTATTTTCTTCTTCAGCATCGTCCACTCCACCCGAAGGATATGTTTGTTCCAGATGAAGTTAAGACAAAGAGTGTGTCTTTTTCCCCCCCTCTAGTCCTTAAAGGCATCTTCCCAGCCCCTCCTAGCTCTCAGGATGGACACACATGACCGGGGAAGCCAGAGGCAGTGAATTGTTATGAAATGTCTTAAAAACCATGCAATGTGCAATCCACCACCCTTTTAATTAAAAACAAGAAGCTCTTCAA